TTTCTCCTTCCATAACTGATCATTTAACATTACTGCTACCCCTTCCTTTGCTCTAACTCTCTCAGATACTCCAGATTTAATCCCATTTATTTCCCCCCACTGAAATCTCCTACCCCCTTCAGCTTTGTTTCGCTTAGAGCCAGGACATCCAACTTCTTTTCATTCATAACATCAGCAATCATCTGTTCTTGTCATCCGCACTACATCCACGCACATTTAAACAACCCAGTTTTATAAAGTTTTTCTTCTTCTCTTTTTTAGTAAATGTATACAGGAGAAGGGGTTACTAGCCCATTGCTCCCGGGATTTAGTCGCCTCATACGACACGCATGGCTTACGGAGGAAAGATTCTTTTCCACTTCCCCCTGGACAATAGAAGAAATAAAAGAACAAGAGCTATTTAGAAAAAGGAGAAAAACCTAGATGTATGTATATATATATATGCATGTGCGTGTCTGTGAAGTGTGACCAAAGTGTAAGTAGGAGTAGCAAGATATCCCTGTTATCTAGCGTGTTTATGAGACAGAAAAAGAAAACCAGCAATCCTACCATCATGCAAAACAGTTACAGGTTTTTGTTTCACAGTCATCTGGCAGGACGGTAGTACTTCCCTGGGTGGTTGCTGTCTACCAACCTACTACCTGTAAATCAGGGATAATCACAGACAGCACTACTGACCACTACCCAACCTTCCTCTTAACAAACATTAGTAAGCCACCACTCGAATACAACAGTTTCATTTAGACTCCATGATAAGGCCTCAATAAGGAATTTCACAGCAGACCTAGAGACTGTTGACTGGCCTACAGAATTCTTCAATGCCAATGGTACTGACAATTGGACAGACATTTTTCTTAAAAAAATATTAGACTATACAACAAACATTGTCCTATAAAAACGAAACGATCACGAATAAACGGCTTGGTTGCCCTGGCTAACCAGCAGCATTCTGAAATCCATTGATAAGAAACCCCAAAATATGAAAAAGCAATATAGACAGGGCTTAATACACAAAGATATTCTTAAAAATTTATTCAACAGTTCTCACCAATTAATAAAGAAAGCCAAACAACTGTACTACCCCAGCAGATTCACTGACACAAGAGGAGATATAAAAAAGACCTGGAAAACACTTTCCCAGATTCGGGGACCCACAAACAAAAAAAAACAAGAATATTGTTCTAACTAAACCTCATGAAACACCACTGCATCCCACTGATACAGCTAACAGGAAAAACGACTTCTTCTCAAACATAGGATCTAATCTCCCCAGTAAAATCCCATTTTCCAATGCCCGTGCCGGGGACTACCTAGATGGGAATTTCCCAAATTCCTTCTATCTTGTACCAACTCAGCCCACACAAGTCACCGCGATCATAAAGTCACTTAAAAATAACTCGGGGAATCTGTCTCACGTCCCACCATTATTGCATAAGCGAGCGGGCCCATGTCCTTTCGCATCCCTATTACATTACTTTTTAAAAGTCACTAGAACTAGCACTTTCCCGACACTACTCAAGACAGCAAGGGTTACACCAATACATAAAGGTGGTGACCCTACAGACGAAAACAACTATAGGCCAATATCAAACTTCCCTTTGCTATCCAAAATCTTCGAGAAACTTGTGCACAGGAAAACTATATTCATTATAATGTCACAAAACATACTCAACCCCTGCCAATTTGGATTCGGGAAAATAAAAGCACTAATGATGCAATTATAAAAATGCTAGACCTGCTTTACACAGCATTGGAAAATAAGGAATATCGGCTAGGAACTTTTATTGACCTAAGAAAAGCGTTTGACACAGAAGACCACGGCATCCTACTCCACAAACTTGACCACTATGGTATAAGAGGCCATGCGCTTGGATATTTTAAATCCTACCTTTCTAATAGGTATCAGTATGTCACCATTAAAGACACAGCCTCATCAATACGGCCACTTGATACTGGAGTTCCGCAGGGAAGTGTCCTTGGACCCTTGCTCTTCCTCATTTACATCAATGATCTTCCAAACATATCACAACACCTGAAACCCATTCATTCTCTTTGCTGACGACACGACTTATGTCATCTCCCACCTTAATCTTGCCACCCTCAACACCATTGTTAATGAGGAGCTGCTCAAATTATCGACTTGGATGACAGCCAATAAACTTACACTTAACACTGGCAAAACTTACTATACAGTGGACCCCCGCATAACGATCACCTCCGAATGCGACCAATTATGTAAGTGCATTTATGTAAGTGTGTTTGTATGTGTATGTTTGGGGGTCTGAAATGGACTAATCTACTTCACAATATTCCTTATGGGAACAAATTTGGTCAGTACTGGCACCTGAACATACTTCTGGATTGAAAAAATATCGTTAACCGGGGGTCCACTGTATTATGTTTAGTAGCAGAGCAGGTATTGCGCAACTTAACATTAAGATCGACAACACTCTAATTGCCAGACATAATGAGGGCAAATTCCTTGGACTATACCTCGACAACAACCTAAATTTCAGCACCCATATCCAATGCATAACAAAAAAAGTATCCAAAACAATGGGGATCCTCTCCAAGATACGATACTATGTGCCGCAAACTGCCCTTCTCACATTATACCATTCACTTATACTATATCCATACCTCACCTATGCTATCTCTGCTTGGGGTTCAACTGCAGCAACACACCTAAAGCCAATAATAACCCAACAAAAAGCCGCAGTAAGAATAATCACTAAATCCCATCCCTGGCAACACCCCCCCCCACTCTTCATAGATCTAAAAATTTACTCCTGTTCATAACATCCACACATTATACTGTGCAATCTATATCTACAGGACCTTAAATTCCAATATTAACCCTTTACCTAAAACACTTTCTTGATAGTTGTGACAGGATCCACAGCATAACACCAGACACAAACATCTTAAAGACATTCCCGTGTTTGACTAAACCTTTACAAAAATTCAATGTATTTCAAAGGACCTAAAATCGGAACACCGTACCCGAAAACTCTAGAACTGAAAACACATTCATCACTTTCAAAAATACAGTTAGAAAACATCTTATCTCCCCGTACACCCCGACAACTAACTACATGATAACCACCCGGTGGTTCACATTACACCACTCACCCACTGACTCTAAACCCAGAAATACTAATCTTAATCTTAAAATAATAAATCCTAACTAGTCATAGGTATGCCTATGTTACTCCAATATAGACACCTTGTATTGTGCCAAAATAAAAGCATTCACATTGCTAAACTCACAAATTATGATGTAGTCACTTAGCCTTAATACCATAATCTGTAAGGATTTAATGTTAAGAATTAATCTAAGTCTGCCCAAAATGCCTAGCCATGCTAGGTGTCATAGTGGCCCCCTCTCTAATTAGTATTTTATAACATGTAAACCACACAATGCCCAAAACCTGTAAACCCCACATTGTAACCCTTATAGAGAATAAACTTGAACTGAATTGTTATGAGGATAACAAAAAGATTAGGTGATGAAAGATTGGATATCAGATTGGAGGGAGAGAGTATGGAGGAGGTGAATGTTTTCAGATATTTGGGAGTGGACGTGTCAGCGGATGGGTCTATGAAAGATGAGGTGAATCATAGAACTGATGAGGGGAAAAGGGTGAGCGGTGCACTTAGGAGTCTGTGGAGACAAAGAACTTTGTCCTTTGAGGCAAAGAGGGGAATGTATGAGAGTATAGTTTTACCAACGCTCTTATATGGTTGTGAAGCATGGGTGATGAATGTTGCAGCGAGGAGAAGGCTGGAGGCAGTGGAGATGTCATGTCTAAGGGCAATGTGTGGTGTGAATATAATGCACAGAATTCGTAGTTCGGAAGTTAGGAGGAGGTGCAGGATTGCCAAAACTGTTGTCCAGAGGGCTGAGGAAGGGTTGTTGAGGTGGTTCGGACATGTAGAGAGAATGGAGCGAAACAGAATGACTTCAAGAGTGTATCAGTCTGTAGTGGAAGGAAGGCGGGGTAGGGGTCGGCCTAGGAAAGGTTGGAGGGAGGGGGTAAAGGAGGTTTTGTGTGCGAGGGGCTTGGACTTCCAGCAGGCATGCGTGAGCGTGTTTGATAGGAGTGAATGGAGACAAATGGTTTTTAGTACTTGACGTGCTGTTGGAGTGTGAGCAAAGTAACATTTATGAAAGGATTCAGGGAAACCGGCAGGTCGGACTTGAGTCCTGGAGATGGGAAGTACAGTGCCTGCACTCTGAAGGAGGGGTGTTAATGTTGCAATTTAAAAACTGTAGTGTAAAGCACCCTTCTGGCAAGACAGTGATGGAGTGAGTGATGGTGAAAGTTTTTCTTTTTCGGGCCACCCTGCCTTGGTGGGAATCAGCCAGTGTGCTAATAAAATAATAATGAATTGAATTGAATGTAATAAATTTCTCAATGCTGAAGCAAAAGTTAATCTTTCACTGGTAGTGCTGCAATATCTTATACAGGCATACCTCGCTAATGTGGCAGTTAGATTCCAGAGAAAACAATCATATATTAAGTGCAAAACAGCACTAGACCTAAAAAAAACGATGCTTGATTCAGCTCAGAGTGAGCTGATATGCACATCACTGCTGAAAACCATGTTATAAACAAGACAAGCACTGATAATAATAAACATATTATGGTTAGGTTAGGTAAGGTTCTTCAGGAAACAGGATGAGTGTTTTCTGACACGGGTCTTAGTTGGATGATGACCCGCTGTTGGAGCTTTTGGTCAACTGACCGAGGCTTTCTGCTGGCTTATTGGTCCACCACCTTAAAAATTATGGCATAGATATGACCAATTTTATTCTAACATAATATTATATAAGTGAAAACTGCTGTATTAGCAACTCTACAGTAAAACACCTTAAAGTGAGTATGCCTATACCTATCCTACCTTCTTCAACACCTGGACAATTGTATATATGATGCATGTGTAAGCATTTCAGTACATAATGAAGAAAGCATTACTACTACACAATATAAACTTACACTTCCACCTCGGCATCAGAGGGAGGATTGACCAAAGTGACTGTTGTTGCATCTTCCACTTGGTCTGCTGCCACCTGCTCCTTCTGAAGAGCAAAACCAAATTCATTAATAGTATAAATTCCTTGTTAATTCATTATAATGAAATATGAACAAGAATAGTAAAAAATTAAGAATATACCAGTATGAAATTTTGATAAAAACTGGATAAAGCACAAACTTTAGTTTTATGTTGAGAGAGGCACATTTAATACAAATTAAATAAATGCATAATTATCAAAGGTTCCATGCTGTTGCCTATTATTTAATGCAGTGTCAAAATGGCCTAAACAACAAACTCAAAATACTGAAAAAATTCTCAGTTAAATTTCGAGAGGAAAAAAAGTGGGATAAAGGGAAATTAGAAAACAATGGTTGAGTTGTGCACTAATGAACACTTAATTTACTAATACATACATAAACAGTTAGCCGGACTCGAGTCCTGTAGGTGGGAAGTACAGTGCCTTAATTCTAAAGGAGGGGCTTAGGATATTTGAAGTTTAGAGGGACATCTGTCATTTCTGCCCACTTCTGGCAAGACAGTGATAGTGTAAATGAGGATGAAAGAGTTTCTTTTTTGAGTCACTCTGTCTTGGTGGGAGATAGCCAGTGTGTTAAAAAAAAATGTAAAGTTGTATTAACTTATATCACAAGAAGTGTGTCCATTGCTTGTGTGACAGTGAACTATGTTTAACCCTTTCAGGGTCGAGAGACCCTCTCTTAAACTTGTTCTCAGGGTCAAAAAAAAAAAAAAAAAAAAAAAAAAAAAAAACTTAGGAAATGATAGAGAATCTTTTTCCCGATCATATTGACACCAAAAGTATGAAATTCGATGGAAAACTTACGGAATTATGCTCTCACGAAGTTAGCAGTCTCAATGATGTTTAAACATCGGCAATTTTGCCCACTTTACCCTATTTTCGGCCAATTCCAGTGTACTAGTCAACAAAAATCATAACTGTTTCGCTAGAACCCCATTTTTTCTATCAAATGAGTACAAGAAACCACCCATTTACTAATTTAAATTATCCAATAAAGTGGTCAGAAATTGGCAATTTTGCCAATTTTACACAAATTTCAAAAGATGCCAATTTCCAAATAGGGTCCAGAATAAACAAGAGAGACATTCCTGGCACTAAAATAACATTTTCTCTGTTCATTAGTCATGTCCCCAGGCCCCTCTTACATCTCTTTTTTCTTTCCATTTGAATGATATTCTCACAAAAAATAGATTTACGTTAGCGACTATGCATTAGTGTAGAAATGGT